ATTTATTTTAATCTGTAGGTTCATTTTCTTTTTTATTTCTTTTAGTTTATTATTGAAGCATCTAAGCTATTTCATAAAATTTCTTAGGATGTTTTTGCTGGTTCCAGCCTTCTGATTTTTCTGTTCTCTGTATTTCATGTAAATTTCTAGTTGGAACTATATTATTGACTGCATGTTTGATTTTGGTTTGTGGTAGGGAGGGGTGGCAGATATTCATAGGGAGTATTGAGGTTTTCCATCAGAAGGCCCCAATGTCTAGTTGTCTCTTTGTGATGTTAGTAGTACTTCATAATCAGTGCCTACCTCCACAAATTCATTAAGATTGTAAAATGATAATATTCTGTAATTTCTTCTTTATTTACTAACTGGAGTACTTTATAAAGAGAAAGCTCATATATCTGGTAACCCATAATAAATGCTTGATTCTTTCCTTTTAGTTACTAGGTTTTCAGTAATGAGTTCATTCATTAGCATCCTCCAGTGGTGAACAATTAGGAATTTAAAAACAAAAAGGCGTAATTTTATTGTTACGAACTCATGGATTTAAGCATATCTGATGTATTTTAATCAATTGCAGTTATTATTATTGAGCAGTTCATTCCAACTTTGACTAGCGAGAGCTTGTTCACTTTGACTCCCAATTTTTTTTATGATCTTAGTCATTTATAGCTTTCTTGCTGCCTAGTAAAGATTTCAAATTTATCTTAACATTTTTCTGCCCCAGGCCTGAAATCAGCCATTTGCCCAAGGAGTTATGCTCCCTTGAAGGAGAACGATATTTAGGGACCATATTTGAATGCTAGGAGGGCTCTTTGCTACTGGGTTGGTCATAGTTTCTAGCCCGTTCCAGTAGACAGAATTAAGTGATGTAATTATTTTCTTCCCTAAAATAAGATGTGTATTTTATACATGTTTATATCTTGTATATGTACTTTATCTTGTATATGTAGATTATGTATTAGCATATATAATGTTTCTATATATATTCTGCTTTATTCAAAATCAGACTACAGGGTTTATATTTAATGTCTTAGTCTTACATCTTTATCTCTTTTCTCCCATACTGAAAATCCCAGATCACAATGACCCTAGGGATGATAGAATTAGAAATGTCTTATAAGTATGGATTTGCAGCAATGTACAAATAACAGTTTCAGAATACAAATATCACTTTCACCAGTAATGTGATTACTAAAAATAGTGTAAGATCTGGGGTGGGGTGCATATTTTACTAGGGATGGTATAATAAATTACTGTTTTAAAGTTATTTGAAATGGTATGATTACATTGTGCATTTGCTATCATATCTAAAAAGTTATTGCTGTACCCAGGGTCATCTAGATTTTTCTCCTACATTATCTTCTAGGGGTTTTATAGTTTTGCTTTTACACTTATGTCTATGATCCATTTTGAGTTGATTTTTATGAAGGATAGGTATCCATATTGTTTCGACATCATTTTGTTGAAAGACTATTTTTTCTCTGTTGTATTGCCATCACTACTTTGTTAAAGATCAGTTAACTGTATTTATATGTCTTCCTGGGCTCTTCATTCTGTTCCATTGGTCTATTTGTCAGTTTTTTCACATGTGACATACTGTCTTGATTACTACAGCTTTATGATAATTCCTGAAGTAGTGTTAGTCTTACACTTTGTTCTTCTTCATTATTGAATTAGCTATTCTTAGTCTGTTGCCTTTTCATAAAACTTCAGAATCAATTTGCAATATCCACAAAGTAACTTGCTGGAATTTTGATTGGATTACATCAAACCTATAGTACAATTTGGGAAGAATTTACATCTTAATAATATTGTCTTCCTATCCATGAACGTGGAATATCTCTCCACATTTCTTTGGTTAGTTCTTTGATTTCTTTCGTTTGAATTTTATAGTTCTTGTACAGATCTTGTACGTAGTTTGATTTATACCTAAGTATTTCATTTTTTAAGTGTTAGTGTAAATGATAATGTGTTTTTAATTTGAAATTCCACTTGTTCATTGCTCCTTTATAGGAAAGTGATCAACTTTTTTATATCAACCTTGTATTTTGCAGCCTTACCATAATTGCTTAGTAATTCCAGAAGTTTTTCTGTTGATTGTTTTGGATTTTCTACATAGAAAATCATGTCATCTGCCAACAAAGAGTTTTATTTTTTTTCTTCCCAATTCGTATACTTTTTATTTTTCTTTATTGTCTCATTGCATTAACTAGCTCTCCTTTTTCAGTCCCTTCACTTATTTTCTTTATCCATTTGTGTTTCCAATTTATTCTTCACTTTTCAGTCTGAATAACATTCTTGTCAAATCAGACAAATGGGAATTGAGAGGGGTATGTTTCACAAAACAGCACATATACTTAAATTAATTAAATTAATCACATGTAAAGGAATTGAGTTTTTAAATGCTTGTAGACTTCCAGGTGAAGTTATTTTTGACTCAGCCTTTTGAGAATTTGAATTGGTTGAAAAGAAGATGAGAGAGGAGAAAGGTCATAGAAAAAATCTGGCATATGGTAAGAAAATATTTGTACAGCGCTGTAGTAATGACATGACCTTTATTGGATTGAAAAGTCAGAGTGGAAAGAATGGGAATTAGTGAAAGTGAAGCTCATGGGAAGAAGCACTTTAAATAAAATAAGACTTAAAATGCTGTACTCATAGCACCTAAAGTTATGTGGAACTTTATAAAACCATTTTCATGTAACCTTTTGAGATAGATGGGAGGTATTTTTATTTTACAAATAAAAGATTAGTACTTAGATTAAGAAATGTATCAATACTACTATATAACAGTATGTAGCCTAGTTAGGACTAAAACTCGTTATCTACATTTCCAGTGTCTCTGTTCTCCAGTGATATTGTTACACCTTGGCTGCCTCGCCATAGTACCCTGCACTTGTAACTCTTAACAGTTTACTGTGTTTTCATGTACATTATTTGAGTTGATTCTCTAAAACCTTATAAGGTATGTACTTTAGGTATTATTATGATCTCATTTTATAGATAAGGAAAATAATGATGAGAGAAGGTAAAGTTAACAATGTAAAGTAGGTAGAGCTGCTTTCTTAATCCCATCATTTATTTTCTATGTCTGCTTGTCTTTCCTGTTGTTCAGTTTTCACTTTTCAGTCTAGATAGTAACTTTTCTATTAGCCTAGGCTAAAAGAAGTTAAATAGATTAAGAAGGTCAACATTATAATAAGTACAAGAACAGATCCAGATATAAACGTACGCCTTCTAGTTTCTGTGTTCTAACCAATATTCTATTCTGGAATTAAGTACCTTATAGAAGACCCACTGGTTTCTTGAGACTTGTTCATACCATGAATGAGAATTACTCCGATAGATGTGTGTGGGATCATTTGGAAAGATCAGAAGTGGAGGTTTGTGGTAACAGCTGTAAGGTGGCCATATTAACATTTTGTTAACAGATCTAAAATTTTATGGAAAAGTGTGAAATGATGAAGTTGTAGGCCACGATAAAAATTTCAATATTTGGATAGTTCCACTGAAAAATGGACAGAAATGAAATGCTATATTCTCTCACTCCTTTCAACATTTATATTACTTAATAGTGTTGAGACTGTTTTAACTTACTGATAATACTTTAAAAATAGGAACTAAATCTTCTACTTTTTCATTATCTCCATGACTTGTGTTTGAGGTATAAATGAGACAGGAAGGACATGGTTTATGTTGTATAACTGCCTTATATTTTATCTATTTTAAGCAGCTGCTGTGATCCAGTTTGAAGTATCTATGTATTGATTTCTTAATGCTGACTTAAATTACTACAAACTCAATTTCTTAAAAAAAAAAAACCCGACACCAAAAACAAATTTATTCCCTCACAGTTCTAGAGACTAAACATCTGAAATTAGTATCACTGGGCTGAAATCAAGGTGTTGGTGGGGCCGTGCTCCCTCTGGGGTCTCTAGGGGAGAACCTGTTACTTCCTTCTTCCAGCTTCTGGTGGCTGCCAGTATTACCTGGTTTGTGGCTTCATTACTGTAATCTCTTGTCCCTGTGGCACACTACCTTCCTCTCTTCTGTCTGTGCCAAATCTCCTGCCCTCTTCTTACAAGGAACCTGTAATTATATTTAGGGTCCACCAGGATTATCCAGGATAATTTCCGCAACTCAGAATCCTTAATCATATCTGCAAAATCTTTTTTTTTTTCCCTTTTGCTATATAAAGTAACATTCAGAGGTTCCCGGGATTTGGGGAGTCATTATTTAGCCTACCACAGTCCTTATTGCCTTTTACTTTTTCTTTTATTTTCCTCATCTCTTCTCTCCTGTTTTTATTATTTTTCATTTTTCAGAGCACATGGTGGCAAGCAGACTGGGTATAATCTGAAGTTAAGAACAGGAGTAGATATGGTGTAGATCAGTGTGTGATCCTTATTGTCCTCGCTATAGAACATCAGATTGTGTTCACATTAACTTTTCGTTGTCATCGAATTAGTTGACAACAGTCATATCTTTGTTAAATTTAGCACCTTTTATCAAAGTACTTATTGAATCTTTGGGTAAAGTATGTAAGCTAACGTGGTATTTCTTTCCAGTCAAGGGATCTGTTGATTAGACTGGCAGGCATTGATGATATTATTGCAAAAATAATCAAATAGATACTAACATTGTTTCAAAACCAATTTTATTAAGGAAATGTTTTTTCACATTTGCACTTTGTTGCAATGATAACTCAGACTTGAATGTAGTGAAAGTGAACAGAAGAGTTGCAGACTTCTGATTCAGTAGTTCATTGTCAAGAGACCTTTATGGTTTGGGGCATAACAGATAACATTTAGGTCTCTGTTTCTTAATATCTAGACTAAAGGAGTTGAAGTGTATGGCTGATAATGTCTCTTTTAATTTTAAAAACCTTTATCTGGTATTTAGCATAAAATATTTAAAAATATTTTGTACTGTTAGGAAAAGAATTCATATTGGCAAGGTTATTTTGAATGAACTGTCTGTGCCTTTTTATTTTTCTGTAGATGGACCACACATCTCCAACCTACATGCTTGCTAACTTAACCCACTTACATTCTGAACAACTTCTGCAGGGTCTGAATCTTCTTCGTCAACATCACGAACTCTGTGACATCATTCTTCGAATAGGTGATGTTAAAATCCATGCTCACAAAGTGGTACTTGCCAGTATCAGCCCATATTTTAAAGCTATGTTCACTGGAAACCTTTCTGAAAAAGAGAACAGTGAGGTTGAGTTTCAGTGCATTGATGAAACTGCTCTCCAGGCCATTGTGGAATATGCCTACACAGGGACTATTTTTATTTCGCAGGACACTGTTGAATCTCTTCTTCCAGCAGCAAACCTACTCCAGATAAAACTTGTCCTGAAAGAATGTTGTGCATTTCTTGAAAGCCAGCTTGATCCTGGTAATTGTATTGGAATTTCTCGTTTTGCAGAGACATATGGATGTCGTGACCTTTACTTAGCAGCCACTAAATACATATGCCAAAATTTTGAAGCTGTTTGTCAGACTGAAGAATTTTTTGAGCTTACACATGCTGACTTGGATGAAATTGTTTCCAATGACTGCTTGAATGTAGCTACAGAAGAGACTGTTTTTTATGCACTTGAGTCTTGGATCAATTATGATGTACAAGAACGCCAGAAATATTTAGCGCAGCTACTTAACAGTGTGCGATTACCATTGCTGAGTGTTAAATTTCTCACTAGACTATATGAAGCAAATCATCTTATCCGTGATGATCGCACTTGTAAACATCTTTTGAATGAAGCTCTGAAGTATCACTTTATGCCTGAGCATAGACTCTCTCATCAGACAGTCTTGGTGACACGACCTCGCTGTGCCCCCAAAGTACTTTGTGCAGTAGGAGGAAAATCTGGACTGTTTGCCTGTTTGGATAGGTAAATAGGAGGATTGATGTTAAAGATTTTATACTTTTTAAATGTGTTTTTCATGTTTGTAGAATAATTTGGATTTCTTAACTTCTTTCTGCTTCTTTTTTTCCTGAATACTTACCTGGTTGTTTTAATCACATTGTCATCCATTCTCTACAACACTTTCAATTATGAACATCCACCATGCCCCTTTGCACAAACTTCATCTCTTCTAGTGACTCACTAACTTTTCTTCTACTTCATGTCTTTTTTTTTTTCTTTGTGAAATCATTTGTATCTTTATTTGAGTGGCACCAAGTCAGAGGGATTTATTATTGCTAGCTATATCAGGGCATGCTAAAGAACAGAGCTAGGAATCTAATGAGAGAGACTGAGGACAAGATTGGATTTGAATGAATCCAGTTAATTAGAAGAACCACCAAAGAAATAAGAAAACATAAGAAACTGATAGAAATCATGGACTTAATATGTGATTTATTTTCTTCAGTGTAATTTTTTTAATGACAGTTGTAAAAAGGTTTTCTAATAACTTGGAGCTGTCAGACATTTCTATAAAGAGACAAATAATAAATAGTTTAGACTTCATGGCCATATGGTCTCTGTCATAACTGCTCAACTCTGCCATGTGCGAAAGAAGCTATGGACAATACATAAATGAATTAGCATAGCTGAGTTCCAATAAAACTTTATTCACAAAAGTAACTGGTGGGCTAAATTTGGCCCATAACCATAGTTTGCTTTAGAGCATACAAATAACTTTTATGTATTGAAAGTATAGCTGGATGTTACCTTTGCTTTTTCTTTGAATGGAATTGCTTCCTGAAAACTTTTGTGTTTGATGTATTTCTTTAATACTGTGGACTTCCTTATATTTCCAAAAACTTGGTTGATTGCTTTCCCCACCTCAATGGTAAGAAACTATTGATGTTTTACTGATGTCAGCTGGTACATTCTGTACCCTCACCTTAATAGTATCATTGAAATTGGGCTGTAGGTAAAAACATTAGTATGGTGAACTACGTAAATTGTTTACTTTTTTTAAAAGATTGTTTATTTTTAGGGGAGGGAGAAGGGACAGAAAAAGAGAGGGAGAGAGCTCTAGCTGGTGTGGTTCAGCGGATTGGGTCCCAGCTTGCAATTGGAGAGGTCACCCCTTCAATTTCCAGGTTGGCTGCATGTCTGGGTGCATGCCTGGGCTGCTGGTTGGGTCCGCAGTTGGGGGCATGTCAGCGGCAACCAATCGATGTTTCTCTTGCATGTCAATGTTCCTCTGTCTCCGTATTCTCTTTAAAAATAAATAAATAAAATCTTTAAAAGGAGAGAGTAAGAGAGAAGGAGAAACATTGACGTGTGAGAAAAATATTGATGTGTTGCCTCTCCCACATCCCCAGCTGAGAACCTGACCTGCAACCCAGGCATGTGCCCTGACCAGGAATTGAACTGGAGACACTTGAGTTTGTGGATGACACCCAGCCCACTGAGCCACACCAGTCAGGGCTGTTTACTCTTCTTAAAGGAGTTGATTATTGGCATGAAGTTAATCATATTAGTCAAATGTTATGACAGAAAATTCCAAATATGAACTTGTATTTTAAAAAGCCTTGAGCATTTGTCTCTTGGTCTCTTGAGTACTAAAAAATAACAGATTATTGAAGAGTTGTAAGAACTGTTCATATCTCAGTCAGTTGTCTTTCATCATAGAATCTATCAGAAGAAAAAAGTGTAATATTATTTATAACTATGGAAAAATTAGAAGCAGCCTGAAGACTTACTCAGTTTAACTCAACAAAAAGTATTACATACGTGTACGTCAGACACTGTGCTAGATAATGGATCTTTAACAAGTTCATAATTTAGTAAAGGGAACAAATATTTCCATAGATAATTATAATGCACAGTTTTAATACAATGATGAAGATAATTCTGTGGAAGTATTAAGGAGGGACATTTATCCCATTTGGGGGATTTAGAGAAGATATTATGGAAAAGTTAATGTCCAAGCTGAGTGTTAAAGGCTAAGCAAGAGCCAAGCAAAAAAACAGTGGGGAGGTCATAGGAAGTAGACAAAGATAAAGTATATTACAGTATAGACTATGCAGGAAGTGCAAAACTATTTGGTATTCCAAAGTATACAGTTTTAACTATCAAGTAGCAGGCCACATCAAAGAAGTTATTGTGTTCCCTGATGACGGGATATTTATTATGTGAGTTAAAAAACTATTATAAGGAGGATAATGAAATGATTTTATATCAGATCATTCTGGACTGTTTTATGGAGATATATCAGGGGGACCAGGATTAGCATCAGAGTGATTAGGAAAGAGATTATTGTAAAAATAAGTACAGGCAAGGGGCTATGAGGTCCTAAATTAGGGTAGTAGTAGTAAAGATAGAGAATGGGGTATTCATTTAAGAAATGTTTTAAGAGACCAGATTGATAGGATTTCATTGAATGCACATGAGGGGATAATGAGAAGGAAAATCAAAGATGAGTAAGATTTCCTGGTCAGATACTGGATGAATGGTTAGTTAGGTTATATACCAAGAGAAAGAGAGAATATGAGAAGAGCCATTTCAAAGGGAAAAATAACATGTTTAGTTTTGGAATACTGCATTTGAATTGCCTGTTGACTGTCCAGGTGAAAGATGTCCTAGTACTAGCTGGGTATGATTACAGAGCTCAAACATGAGGTCAGTGCTGGAAATTTAGTAGTTAGCATATAATATAACTTTGGGGTATAAATTAAAACCGTAACTTCCTATCACTCAGGAAATTATAAGGAGTTCTGTGCTGGGAACCTGGGATAGAAACCAAAATTTTTTTTATTACACTATTATTGTATGGTCCTATATATTATCTGATTTAACCGAATTGCCCAGCTTATTTACTTACTTATTTTTGACTTCTCAAATCTGCTGTGTCCTCCAGAATTCACATCCTGTTAACAAGAAAAATCTCCTTTATCCTTAACTTCTTGCTTGCTCTAATGAAATAAGGCTGATGCTTACGAATACTGTTCTTCCTGTCTCAAAACTTTTTTTCCATATCTCATGTATCATAGGTCCTTGAAGTTATTAAGTACTTTGTTTTGGTTCTCGTAGCCACTTCAACATTTCTTCATCTTCCCTCCCTCAAAACCCTTCACTCATGTCAAGCATTTGCCATGAGGCTATGTCATATGAGGTCCCTCCTGTTACCACCATCTGCTGTTCCTTCAGTAACTTCATTTATTGAGGATTTTTATAGCTGGTGGTTATCATGTACATAAATAATTATTCTTATTGATGTCAACATCCACATAGTATAATCCATAGCTATCCAGCTCCTTTGCCTCTCTCCTTTAACTCACTTCTACCAATCTTTTCTGTCTTAACTTAGGCACCTGTTTCCATGGTCATACCCTCAACCTTGTTTTTACCAGACTTGAACACTTTGAAAATCTTGGTTTCAGACATTTCACTCTCTGTCCACCACCTCCTTTCTTGCCAGCTTATTTATTTCAGTACACCCACTGCAACCATTCTTTTTGTTGCCTTCAAGACTTTTAATCCTTCGGCCTTCTAATCAGTAAAATGTACTGGTCACCAACCACTGCACGTCCTCGCCTTCACTCTTTACCCAGCTTAGATTCCAGGAACATTGATGTCGTGATTACTTTGAATACGCTCATGGCCCTCTTATCAGTCTTTTCTTCCATCACACTCACCAAGTTAAATTCAGTTTCCCACTTATGTCGTGGCTACACCTGAGCAACAGAATGTGGCTGGAATGATGCACATATCCATCTTAACTGGTCTCATGTGCTGCTCTCTCAGCACTCCCAGTCACCCCTATGCTTTCCCTAATTAATTTACTCTTTCATTTCCCTGAAGGACTGTTTCACATCTTCTGCTCTCTCCATAAAAACATCCAAAGGCCCTTAACCCTCACCTTCCAACTCTCAGCTGATGACCTTGTCTCTTTACTGAGAAGATAGAAGCAATCTGAAGAGCTCTCTCCTCTTCCCATCACCCAATCTACCAACCTGTTTCTAAGACCAGCCCTTCCACTTGTCCATTTATTCACCAGCTTCCATTCCCTCTTTCTCTACACAAGGACTTTGCTCTTGCTGTTATTTTGTCACTGTCCTATATTATCACTTTCATTCCACTACATCATAGCCAGTAGCATATAAACACGTTCTAGTTTAAACTTCCAGATTAAATGAATCTACACTGGACTCTGGTCTTCCTTTGCTCTTCTTTATAGCTGCCTCCTCATGTCTTTCACTCTTCAGAGTAAAAGCCTTGAAAAAATTGTATCCACTCTTCTGTTTTATCTTCCTCATCTCCCGTTCTTTCTTGAACCACTCCAGTTAATATTCATCCCCCGCATCTCAGTGAAACTGCTCTCCTTAAGATCAAATAGTTTCCTGATGCATTGTTCCCATTGGAACAAATTGACATTTCTAAAACAACCAATATAACAAAATAGTAATTAGTTATTCTATAATTATTGAATGATTTAATGTACTTTAACCATATTTGATAGAGAAAAATATATTTTTATGCTATGCATTTTGAGTCTGAGGACGTTGGCTACTTTTTCCCAACTTTTTTTGTAAAGAAATATATATACACACAAGAAACCATATATAATATGCATGTTAGATCCCCAAGTATTTATCAACCAACTTAATAGACTAATAACGGTATCTTTCAGTCTTCTTATGCCTCTCCTAGATGCCATCTCCTCCCCTCCCCCAGAAGGAACCACTATTCTGAATTTTCGGTGTGTTATTCCTTTGCTTTGTATTATAATTTTACCACATCTTATATGTGCCCCAGTATATCATTAGATTTTACATATTTTTTTGGTTTTACACATTTTTGTATAAATGAGGTAGTACTATGTATATTCTTCAGAGATGTGTTTTCTCACCCAACAGCAAGTTAACAAAATCCATCTGTGAGACTGCATGAGAAAATAGTTCATTAGTTTCATTATAGGGACACAACATTTTCTACAATGAACACGTTAATTGCAAGGAATTAATTGAAGTTCCACACACATACAGAAAAGTTCACAAATTCTAAGCTCAGGTAATTATCACAAATTGAACATTACAAACCAGTTCAAGAAATAGGAAAAGTGACCAACACCCAGAAATCATCCCTGAGTTCCCTCTCTGTCCTCCCCAAAGGTAACCACTATCCTCATTTTTACTCCAGAGATTAGAAATCTTTTCTGAACTCCATATAAATGAAACTACCCGTATTTTGCAGTGTATAATGCATAATTTTTTGCCCAAAGTTTTGAGGTAAAAATAACGATGTGCATTATACATGGATAGTACTAATTGTGTATCTGTATAGATGTTTTTAATTTTTTTATTTATGCTTATGCATTAAAAGTGTAACTCTAGAAGTGGTAATGATATCCATATGCAAAATAATAACCCTGGAATACGATAATCGGTTTTGTTTCTAAATACAAATAAAATATTGAATTGAAAAATTAAAACAAAAGGTTTTTTTCCTGAAAGTTTGGTCCAAAATTATACATGGGGGTGCATTGTACATGGCAAAATACAGTATATAGAATATATTCTTTTGAATTTGGCTTCTTTCCCTCAATATTATATGTATAAGTTTCATCCCTGTTGCATGTAGCTATAGTTTGTTCATTTTCATTGCTGTGTAGTATTCTCTTATATGACACACGACAATTTAACCATATTTTGGTTGATGAACATTTGGAACATTTAAAAGCATCCAGTTTTTAGCTATTACAAAGAATATTTCCATGAACATCCTTGTACATGTACATATGTGTACATTGCTTTTGTGTACATATCTAAGAATGTACCATTCTTAGAATGGTAAGAATATACCATTTTATTTATCCATTCTCCTTTAGATAAGAGGATTTTGTTGTGCTGCTATGAACATATCTGTATATGTGCTTGGTACAAAACTGACTTTGTGACAGACATTCAATAGAGTACATACACAGGAATGAAATTGCTGAGTCAGAGGTGTGTGTATCTTCACTTTTACAAGATAGTGTGAAATTGTTTTCCATAGTAGTTTTATCAGTTTACACTGTTGCTAACAGACTAGTGACACATTTTACCAATAGTTGGTAGATATTGTCAGACTTCAAATTTTTTTTTCAGTCTGGAAAGTGTGTCATGGTTTATTGTAGTTTTAATTTCGTGTCCCTGATCACTAATAAGATTAAATGTTTTTGTTTGTTTATGGACCGTTTTCATTTTTTAAATTTAATTTTTTCTGCTTATTCTTTAGTGTGGAGATGTACTTTCCTCAGAATGACTCTTGGATTGGTTTGGCACCCTTAAACATGCCTCGCCATGAATTTGGAATATGCGTTTTAGACCAAAAAGTGTATGTTATAGGTGGTATTGAAACTGACGTGCGTCCTGATTTCACTATCAGAACACATGAAAATTCAGTAGAATGCTGGAATCCTGATACAAATACCTGGACTTCTCTTGAGAGAATGAATGAGCACCGAAGTACCCTTGGAGTAGTAGTACTCGCAGGAGAGCTTTATGCTTTAGGTGGTTATGATGGACAGTCTTACTTACAATCTGTAGAGAAGTATATTCCCAAATTAAGAAAATGGGAGCCTGTGGCACCAATGACTACAACACGAAGTTGTTTTGCCGCAGCTGTGCTGGACGGAATGATATATGCCATTGGTGGGTATGGTCCTGCCCACATGAACAGGTATTTAACTTGATCAAGCTGTAGATTTTTAAAGTATTATTAACAATGATCTCTGGATTTTAAACAATTTGTGTGTATAAATTAACTTCTCTTTTTATTTTTTAAAGTATGTAATATTAATAGACATTTTGAAAATTTGATCTATTCCATGAGTATAATTGTAATTGTTTAACTTGGGATTTAATAGAAACCTAAGAATCAATGCCTCTCATTAAATTTTACTTTCATTCAATCAATATAAATGGATAGACTTTAAAATTCAAAAATTTGAAAATAAAATGAAGTTAGGCAACTTTAGATTTTGGGTTGTATGTGTGTGAATGGCCTGTTATTGCATTATTTAATAGAATAAAAACTTGAAAACTATAACTTACATATACTTACACAGTACTATAATGTGTCATATAAACGTAGAGCCTTTTTTAAATTTTTTTTTTCTGGATTCTTATCTATAATCATATATATTATGTGATGCTGTTACGCTAGATGCTAAATTTGAGATTTCTGTATTTTGTATTCTGTCAGTAAAGGAGAAACGTTATCAGAAAAATAAAGGCATAAAGTGGCTGCTTATATGGAAAATTAATCATAATTCTGAACCTTTATTGAAAATTAATGTTCCAAACATTTTATCTCTGATACTAATTAGAGTAGTATGTGTTTTATTTATTATGAACATTTTAATAAAATATATTGTGGTTTGTTAACTGAGAAAGTAATGGCACAACAGCATCTCATCTATAAATTTTTATTTTTGTGTAAGCGAATGTATTTTTTTCTACTCTCTTAGTTGAAGGAAAAATGTTTGGGTCCCAGGCATGCATTTCTATTTTTGGAAAAGTTGCTGACAGAAATTTGTAAGATGAAAGGTTAAGTATTTTAGTTTTAAGATAATGCTCTTGAAGTTTAGGTTTTTGCTACAGTTTATTGACTCCTCTTGCCCAATGTTTTGGTCTAATGGTTTTTATATGGTGTCCTTTCAGAAACAGTTATAGTTTAGTCTATACTCTAGTCTAGTCTATAGCCTCGTCTCATTCAGAACTCCAGAATTCTGTCACTGACTCTCAAGTGCTTTAGGAGTTTTTTGAGAGGTTATGTTAAGACCAGAACAAGCTCAACAAGCTTGCCTTTATGTCCCTTCAAGGCAAAGCACAGGCTAAAAGTCATTCTGGATTTTCTATAGAAACTTTCTTGGAAATTCTGATTTGATCTGGGTTTCCATAATACAGGTTGGAAATGCCAAGTGTTCTCTGGAATGCAGATTTGACTTAGATCCCTGAATTCTCCTAAAGGTTTTCCTGAGATGATTATGATCAGCCAGTTTGTGTTATGAAATCTGCAGTGTTTGCTTTGCAATAAACCATTGTGAATTCTCCTGTATGAAAAAAAAATTCCTCTTCTTTCCTTCTCTTCCCTTTTCCTTAGCTATATGGGAGACTCTTAGAGTCCTTAGAATATATTCAGTTGGTGATTTTCAAAGTCCTTTCACATGCATACTCATTTGACTTTATTCTCATATGAATCCTTTGAGATTGCATTATTGCCATTTTTATAGGTGAGACAAAATGACTTATCCAGGATTACACATATCCAAAGTGGTAATGTTAGGGCTTATTCAGCTCTAGATATGCCTCAACCCAGGTTTTCTGACTCCAAAAGTTCTGTAACCTTAGTGGACTTTTCTGCTTACACAGTATATAATGGGATAGCATATAGCTATATTTGCACTTCGTCCACAAGGTAAGCTTTTGTCCCTGCAATCTCATCAGCAAAGTCTAAACATTTGAGACAAACTACTCTGGTTTTGTATTTGACTATTTGTTTAACTTTTAAGAGTTCAAATGGTGGGGTTTAGTTTTGCTTTAGTAGGAAGAATGACACAGACTATGTGCATTGATTCTCTTTTGTGAATATTTGCAGTGTGGAGCGTTATGATCCAAGTAAGGACTCCTGGGAGATGGTTGCATCTATGGCAGATAAAAGGATTCACTTTGGTGTGGGTGTCATGCTGGGCTTTATTTTTGTGGTAGGTGGACATAATGGTGTCTCACATTTGTCAAGTATTGAAAGATATGACCCTCATCAAAATCAGTGGACCCTGTGTAGACCAATGAAAGAACCCAGAACAGGTAATAATAACTTACTAATTTCTAACATATAGGACAGTGTTTTTAATAGTGATGTTCTTGGAATAGTAGTTCCTTGTAATATAGTAAAGAGTATTACTTGTTTGGGGAGTGGGGGGAAACTTTGAGGTAAACTGGAGGCAACCAGGTTAGACACAACAGCATAGATTTTTTAAAAGATTTTATTTATTTTTAGAGAGAGATGAAGGGAGGGAGTGAAACCTCATTGTGTGGTTGCTGCTCGCACACTCCCAACTAGGGACCTAGACCAAAACCCAGGCATGTGCCCTGACTGGGAATCGAACTGGTGACCCATTGGTTCCACTGAGTCGCACCAGCCAGGGCAAAAACTGCATAGATTTCTTTAGTGTGGTTTTACTATGCCAGTGTGCATATTATTGTTTTGAAAAATGCTAGTAATAGAAGGTATCTTATAGAAGCCCTTTTTGTCCATCTTACAAAAAGGTTTGTCCAGATAACAAATGTCATCTTTCTGTATGTTACACGCACCCACACAATCCTCAGATGTTCTGTTTTGTTGTTTATTGCATATCAGCAGCCTATATGTTCACTTTCAAATGTTCTCTCCTCCTCAAGGGGTATACTTGGTCAAGAAAAAGTTGGATTTCAGGATTCCTAGAGAAAAAGAAATACATCAGGGAAAAGAAGAAATTCTCTGTGAGGCCAACTGAAATTGCATTATTTTAAGGGGGAAGTTTTAGGTTATTGATGGACTACTTTAGAAGTATTCGTTGAATTTGTGACCGAAGAAACTCATGAAACAAATTTGCAAAGGAAACTGAAAGGACAAAGTGGAATGAACTTTTTTAGTTGTTTACTATAGTTAGTTTCTGTGGTGTCATTGAGAGAGAAAACCATACAAAACTGAGAATGTAAAAAAAGTTAAGCAGCCTTGTTGGTATTTTTTCTTACGACTATGATATATAAAGTAGACTTTTTAGAGCATCAACTGTATAGCTCAGCAGATATTTTAAACATTTCAATATATAGGTTTCTCCTGCTACTTGAAAATAGAGTGTTCCTAATGAAACCTTTTAATAAGCAGAAATGGCTAAAACCTAGAAGCTATTACCTTAGGACACATCTTTTTAATGGATGCCCAGAATACATCAAGATAAAGCACAGATGCTCACACACAGTTCAGAGCTCTGGGGGCTTGATGCTGAGATGCTGCGTGTGGTTCCCAGCGAAGGAGATTGGCCGTGCCACTCTTGCCACTTGGGGTACACGCTGCCTCTACACCCATTGGCTTCAAAACAAATGTTGAATGCCATTTTCACTCTTTGCCATTTTTTGTGAAAACGAAAATCTTCAGATTATTTTAAATTAGTGAAATGTGCAGTTAGCCCACAAACAACATTAGTTTGATCTGCTGAAGTCCACTTATATAGGGATTTTTTCAATAAATACTGTAAATATAGTTTCTTTTTCTTAGGATTTTCTTAATTTTTTTCTCTGGCTTTTACTTCGTTGTCAGAATACAGTATATAATACATGTAATTACAAAATACGGGCTAATCAACTGTAGAAGCATTTATTATCGGTCAAATTTATAGGCAACATTAGGCTATGAAGTTTTTGCCATCAGAAGGTCTACTTGGATTTTTGACTGTGCTGGTGTTGGTGCCCCTGACCACTGCATTGTTCAGAGGTCAACTGAACTCATGTAAGGTAGATCTTTCGTAAAAGCAAAATGGTGTAACGTGAACTTCTGAAAAGGATAGTTGTATTTGAAAACCTGTTAAAAATGAATGATTTCTTGAAAAATATAAGTAAATATGAATTGAGAAGAAAGCTTATGGGAAAATATATACTGCATTCTTTTTTTCATGTTCATTTTCCTTCATTAAAAACATTGTGTTACATTTTCATTCATAAATAGTCAAGGTGGGTGGTGCATTTTACCGCATTCTTTTTTTTTTTTTTAACTCATCCAAGCCTTTATATTAAAGTACCTACTATATGCACAATCCTGTGCAAAATATCAAAGGAATACAAAGATGAATTTAAAAATGGTGCCAACTCTGAACAATTTCATAATCTAATGATAGTGACAAATAGTTTAACAAAAACTGTAGGAGAGGAGTTACTGCATTTTTAATACCAGTTTCCTGTGGAGGAGGAGAGAGGGAGAGTAGGATTGGGGAGGAGAAGTGAAGGAAGACTTCAACTCTTACCTTACTTTTATATACAGGGATATTACTGTATTGCCTTGTACAATTAATAATAGATTGTTGAAATGTATTTTAAGAAAACAATAAGATACAAATTCATTTATTTTTAGTGAGAAGTCTACTAGATGGTTAACATGTCTTTTCTCCATTTTTATTCACTTTTTCTAGGAGTTGGTGCTGCAGTAATTGATAACTACCTTTACGTAGTTGGTGGTCACTCAGGGTCTTCCTATCTGAACACCGTGCAGAAATATGACCCTATCTCAGATACATGGCTGGATTCAGCTGGCATGATATACTGTCGCTGCAATTTTGGATTAACTGCACTTTGACAAGTGTGGACTCATGGAAATAGTGAGGCGATGAACCTTGTGTCGCATGAAAGGATGCCCAGTTTCTGAAATCCGAAAGCTGCATTGCTTTCTTTTTAACTTGAAATGGCATGAAGACTCAAAGTTTTGTTAGGTACTTTGAACTGACAGGTAGCTTTGGTTGCTCTTGATTACACAGTGATCAATAATCAAAAAAAAAAAAAAAAAGGAAACATCTTGCCAATTAAATTGTGCGCTTCTGCGCCCCTCCCCCCTCCAATACTGGGACAAAGTAGTTTTATGTTCATAAGTGTACATGTGGAGAAAAAATTTTTTCTTAAATTTTAGCTCTTTTCCTCAATACGTACCATGATTTACTAGGATAAACGATGTTTGGATGGTGGGATGTAGTGAATGACTGGACAGAGTGCTGATACTGACAGATATAAATTCATATGCTTTACATTTTAAATAAAGGGCTGCTTTTTTTTGGTACTTTAAGGGGTGTAAATTATATACCATAGTGACTCACCTGAACTTACTTTCTGCTAAATGGCTTTAGGGCTGGGAACGTAATAACTCAGCAAGACAAATGCTTTTACTATCGTGATATTTGGGGGCCTATTTAAAGAAGTCATATTTACTGTTTATATCTTTTTTATATGGGCAGGGTAATGCTGGATGAATTTATTTACCCATCTATGCTATGCTAAGCATGGATAGAGTTACGCATATCAGTTTAATTTTTTAGTAGTACAGCAAGCTTCCCGGTGTTGATGTAAATATTTGACAAATGTTTAGTATCACCCTTAGTGCATATTTTTCATACATCCTTATAATAATTTCAGTTTTTTAAGACATTTGTTTGCTTTTTCAAAGTGTTCAGATATAAAAATGGTGCTAACTGTAGGAGCTATAACAAAGCTATGATGATGTTCTTTTGGATGTTCAGTATGAGATATGCATGACATGTTTTGATAGTATTTTTCATTTTTACTGGCTTGATTTATTTGTACTTATTGAAAATGTTAGTGAGTTTACTAATGTTAACATCCAAAAATTATATAAATGCCCATGTTATGCTTTCCATGGTTCCTGAATAGTGATTTAAAGAAAGATACATTTTGATCTTTCTTCTTATGCTAGATACTACATGTCCTTCTTAAAAACAGAAATATATGCATTAAATATAAAGCACTGGCAGTTATGCATTACTCTGTGCATTTCTTAGGTAACTGAATATTTTAAAGTTATTGAGGAAAACTGGAACTTAGTGTTTACTTGAGTAATGGTTCTAAATTTGGTTCTACTTTGACTAAAGAAATGTTATTTTAAAGCAAAATTGTTTGTTATTGCCAAGTGACAGCTTATTTAAAAGAAGTGGTTGACTTGTTTTATTTTGGCATGTTTTAGCAAATGTCTGTTAGTCATGAACACATAACCTTGCATTTTATGAGGATGTTGGTACTTTTAATTTTGGTACTATAGTCATTTTATTTTCTTTTCCATGAATTTTTTTTTTTTTACCTACCCACTGTCTCTTTATAGTCTCTGCAAAACCAGTGTATATTTGTAAGAAAAATTCATACTGCATTCTTAAGTGCCATAATGTTTTAAAACTATTGTTAAGAAGCCATTTTTAATTACAAAATGTAAGTTCATTTGTTAGCATATATGTTACTTCTTGAAAACTGTAGTCGGGCAATTTACTGTTTTCCTTGTTCTTCCATAAACTGCCAGTTGTAGATTTAAATATATACTACCAAACTATGTAAAAATCATGTTTAAACATTAGTATCATGCTTTAAGAATATTTGCACAGGTTATAAAACCTTGCAAGTGACTTTTAGTCTCTTCTAATTAAGAACTCAACAGGAGCTACTAATAAACTTGACAGGCTGAGTATTTTCTATGTTGCTTGTTTAAAAAAAACAATGATATAAAGCAATAACTTTTTAATTGATTTGAATAAACCTATTGAATAGAAACAAGGTGCACTATTGTGATTGGCCTAGACTTTATTTAAAGAAAAGCAATTTAAAATAGATTCTGTCATATACATAAATGCCCCAACTCAATTTTCTTTTTATTTATATCAATAAGCTTGTTAAATACATCCTGTTACTCTGTTTTTAATCCTTTTTCCCCACCAAAGGGAATTTGAAAGACTACAAAATTATTTTAATTGTAAACAGAGCTATTCTATACATTTTATTTAATAATTTTTACTCAATGTATCATTGCCACTATCTAATATAAACTATATACATCATTTGATAAATTAGATCAAAGGCATGTATTATTGTTTTTGAAAAAATCTGAATTTAATGTTGAAGAAGACTGAATATGAAACATTTTGGGCAATAATAGGAGCCATGTACCAGAGAACAAATTATGAAAACATGTAAAAGGAAGAGGGAAAAATAAAGCCCAAATTTAAAAGTATTTATTTCAGGTTTGCTAAACCTACTGTACTGTTCACAACTAGAGTTATAAATGTGACCTGACAATAACTTCACAATAGGGCCTTTTTGTAGACATTCATCAGAAGTTTCATTATGAATACTCTGTTGACAAATTATGAATTTAAAGCCACATGTGTCTTACATTAAAAGGATAAAGATATTCAATTATAAATTCCCAGGGTTAAATATCAATATATTAGAAATCAAGGAGGAGACAGTTAAAGATTGCTCAAAAAGTGGTTTGAAAACAGTGACAGTGATAATTGTCTAATCAGAAGATAATTGCCTTTTATAAGTATTTTATGAAGACAACCATTTAGAAATGTTTGGCTCTTTAGTATTTGTTGAATATTGTAATAGCACTTCAATAACTTTTAATGTAGCCCAAAGGATATTTATGTAAGTTCTATTTTTACTGCTAATATTGTTTTAGGTATGAATGAATATAAAATTTAGAGAGTGGTATCAAGTGTTAGGAAAACATTAGGCTTGAAAACTATTTTGATAACTTGACAAATATGGAGGGCATACTGTAAGTATGAGATATTGTGATAGATGCTATAGAGGCTAAAAATGTAAATAAGGCACAGTTTTTCACTCAAAAAAATAAAATATAGCAAGGGAGACCTATACCCAAAAAACTCTCATAATAAAGTGTGAATCTAATTCTTATCTCCACCATCATAAGAAGTAATTAGAGACCCAGTTTATGTATAAACATTTGTGTCCTTTAATGTTCAATTGGGTTTTATTGGCATGAAAGAGAATTATTTAAAAAAACATAATGTTTATAGAATTCCAAGTTTCCTGGAATTTAGTAATATATTTTCTAGTAGAAAAAATTATAGAAGCTTTAAGAAAATACAATATTATTAAGGTTCTGGCTGACATTGAAGGAAATATACGTACATAAAATGCTCTGTTTGTTTTGTGTTTTGGTGTTGAATTTCTGGTATTGTCACCTAAGTGCTCATTTTCAGGAAAATCAGATTCTACAATAAATACACTACTTAAAGTTTAATAAAGATGTGATAACCTCTATAACCTCTGTAGTTTAAAGGTTAAGAAGTTATAAGATGTCACAAGTCAACATCCAGTTCTACCTTTTAACCCATTTTTTCCTTTGTAAAATGGCACTTTAAATCAGACATGTTTAATTAGATACAGTTCTGTAGCTGGATATATATTGGATTTTCATTTCCAGTATGTTGATTCAGTGTTGATACACATTTGAAAAGAGTAAAGAATACAGTAAGTTTTAAATACTAGAGGTTTACAAGTTTTCTTACTGGTGTGAATATGAAGTTAAAAATCCAGTTTACTTCTCTGCAGAGAGAAAAATTGTTATCCACATTTTTGTTATATTTCACATATTTAACTAGAGATACTTTATTGTTATTTTTGTCAAGTTATCGTGTGTGAGTCCCATTTATTTTAAAATACCAAGCAAAAAGTTCCAAGTTTGCCTTAAAATACAAATGAAATTAAAGAACTGGATGATAATGCCTATATTTTTGCCTTATGAATTGTGCTGTATCTTAAACCAGAGATGGTTCTGATTTAAACAGGATTCTGAAATTTTGTAGATGTAGAGTACAAATATATGTACTCTCTTGCAAAGAATGTGATCTAGTTGTAGATTATGTTAATATTTAAATGTTTCTGTATTTTACCTCTTAATATGTATCTTTTTAGCATCAGGGTTTCATTTTATTTTTGTTTACATAGTAAAATGGTATTTACCTTGTTGAAGGTTGTATTCTTTCCTTTTTTATTTTAAAAGTTCTTTGTGTGTATCGTTGTGGTAATGCTCTGTAATGACTATGGTTAAATTTCATTTAATGTGAATTGTTTAGAATAAATTTGAAAAACATGATTTTGTATGTGTCAATTGTAAACTGACCTAAGCTAACAGTGATGCTCAAATCTTAGGTGGTTCTTGGTAGACAAGTAGTAGCCACAAAAGTTGAGGTGGGTGTAGGATAGACACACATTCACACATTTACTAAAGAAACATTTATTAGCAGCGCAGGGACAAGAGTTCAGTGGTTAAGTTCAATGCAGTCCCAGATTTTTATCTTTTAGATTCTCTAACCAGTCTTATAAGAAAGATTTATTTGAGACAGACAAGGTAACATTCCAGAGGATTTTGTCACCCTTTGGCCAGCCATTGGTAACCAGCAGCTCTCCTAAAGGAGAGAGCTGTAAATAAGAAATTGAGCTCCAGGCGCCATCTTTAAGGAAGTTGTAAACTATGGACTTGAATGGATTCAGAAAACCTGTCCATACAAGGATTGGAAATGTCTAATATTTTTAGATAATCTTGAAAAGGGGCTTTAGCTTTAATTATTGGATTGTAATGGGTTTTCTTTTCCTTAGTCTGAAAATCTTGGTTTCTATCAACATTCACATATATGATTACCTATTTGATTTATTTTAATCATACTTAATAGTTTAAAATAACTGTGATATAAGTAACAAGGCAGTTTAGATGCCTTTGTAATTCTTTTTTGTCACAATATATTTCACAAGGATAAACAATAAAATACTGGTTTTAGAGTCAAACTAAGTATTTGGTTAAAATATAATTGCTTTACATTTACTGTACACTTAGGTTATTTTAATTAATGTTTTCATTTCTAGGGATACATTTTTAAGTTATATAAAGTATTTACCTGTGACTCCAAAGTTGAAACTCTATGAGAAGATGGGTTCACAAAAGGTTTATCTGCATTTCCATCTCTTCCACTCTGCTTTTTATTCCTCTGTAATCATATTGATTAGATGTTAGTACCGTTTCATTTTGGAAATAGGAGTACACCACCTTCCCCATTACCTTACAAAATAGATAGCATACTCTAAAAACAGTTTTCAACTTCCCCCCCCACTTAATATATTCAGAGGGTTATTCCATATCAATATATTGAATTAAACTTAATTTTCTGCAGTTACATGGTACCTTACTGTGTGGATGTATCACAGGACTTTTAAGTAGTCTTGGATATTGAGGTAGTTTTCAGACTTTTTATTTACAAATGTTGCAATGAATAGTCTTGTGTATGTGTTACTTTGTTTTAGATATAGATTTTAAGAACTAGAATTGCTAGGTGTAATAGTAGATGATACATAATTTGTTAGATCTTCCCTGTTTTAGTCACTCCAGGCTGCTATAACAAAATACCATAGACTTGATGGCTTATAAACAACAAGTTTTATTTCTCGCTGTTTTGGAGCCTGGAAGTCCAAGACCAGGATGTCAGAATGGCTAGTTTCTGGTGAGGACCCTCCTTAGAT